TCTTAAATCATGATACAACAGGCAGTGAAACCAAAACATAAAATTCATCTTCTACCACACATCAATCACACACAGTGCAGATTCTGTCCTCTTCTGGCACTTTAATAATAGAGTAATATTCCTTTGCAGCGTAGTACAGCCTAAAGTCTGTCTCTACTGTAATGATTTGATGGAATGAACTCTTGGTATGCCTCACTATTTGACATAGACCTCTTGTTGAGGAGATTTCTTTATTCAGAAATGTTTACTGTCCTCCACCACAAATGTGCTCTTGGTCTTCGAGGTATTTTGTGGTTGCTGATCTGTTTGGAAGAATATTTAAGATCACACCTAATCTGAATAGGGTTTTTTCAGGGTGCTCCGGTTTCTCCCAGGTACAAAGAAAACATAATAACCTAAACAAAAATGTATTTATTATGTATTGTATTTTTTTGTCATCCCTCCCTGAAGTTAATCACTTCTTAATATATATTTGGTTGTTGTTTCTTGCGGAGGGTCTAGGGACAGTGATGATCCGGGACATGTATTATAACATAACGTTTATTATAACATTTATGGACAGTGGTCATCCCGCTCCCACCAATGTCTCTGTTTGATTATATTATCTGTTGATGGAATTGACAACTTTGTAAAGTCCTCCAAGAAGGCTTCTGTTGTGATAGTGATTTAGGGCTATTCAAAAATAAATGTAATAGAATTAATTTAATTGAATCAGTCCTGTTTCTCACGGTTCACTGAGAGTGACAGCTCTTTGCATCTCATATTGAGAGTTGACGTGACAGATTCCAAATCCAAAAGAAGCACCAAAGTGAAATTAACTTTTTTTTCTGTTGAGTCCCAATACATTTGAACACTTGAAAAAATGAAATGTATATTCCAATTTTGTCCAATATTTATATCTGTAAACAACTGTCAATGGTCAGAAGGAGTACTTTTCTGCCCACTGCCCCTTGGTCATCCATCAGTGCCCGGGGTCCCTGTGATCAGATGGGGCTGACAGCAGGCGCGTACGTGGGGTCTGTCTCTGCGATTGATTATACCACGCTCTACAATAACAGCGCACCGCGTGTTTGTCACCGTGGACAGGACGGCACCCTTGGCCGAATTATGGACGCATAAATCCTCGTCAGATTGGGAGGCGGGGAGAGAGCTGCGGTGGCCCATGCAAACAAAGTGCATCAATCACAATCGCGGCCCTGTCAATGGACGCGCGCCACGGCCTTGTGGTCAGCAGCGCGTGTCACAGCACCGAGTGAAATACTGGAGATGACGGGGAAGGCATGTTTCCAGTTCAAGCGGGAAATCCAGAAGACTAAGGACTGTAAATAAGGAGCAGGAGCTGGGGTACCCGACATATATTTGGGTACCTAAACTTTAAATCACAAAATGTTTAGTTACACAACATATTAGTTAACTAGCTCACTCTCAAAACAGTTTGCTTATAGTCAACACACACGCATGCACGCACACACACGTGTTTGGCTTCTGTCACATAGATCAGTAAAGAGTCGGATGTGTTTTTATAACATTTGACTTTTACAAGAATATTAACAATCGTGTTATTTATGAAACAAAGTTAGGAACCGCTTTACTGAAGCTGTCCAATTTAAATGATCAATAATAAGGGTTTTCTAGATTCTGTGGGAAAGGTATCTTGCCGAAGGACATAATAATGTTTGTAAGTGTAAGAACTTGGATTCACCAGAATTCTTGAGTTCTCAAACTGTTAGAAACTCTCAGAGCATTTGCAACAACACATCATCAGTATGTTAAAACGAACCTGTCTCACAGCTCACGTTCCCTATTAGTGGGTGAACAATCCAACACTTGGGGAATTCTGCTTCACAATGAAAGAAAGAGCCGACATCAAAGGATAAAAAAGGGAATTCAAATCAAAGTAATTCTGAAAAAATCCCCAAATAGTTATTTTTCACCACCTGGTGAAAATGTCCATACGCTGAGTAATTCAGTTTCAAATATTTAAAGCCGTCCCATTGACTGCTCTGGGAGTTCCAGTATTCATACATTATACTGAACAGAAATGCAACACCAGAGTCAACTTTTTTGAGCGCACCGAAAGTTAAAAATAGTCCATTGTCATCACACCCGTCAACACCACGTCACTCTGGAGCTGTCCCAGAGCAGAGGTACGTCTTTGAAAATAAAGAACTCCTTTCTCCAAAGTGAATATTAACATTGTTTTCGGACATTATCCACATTTACCAAAACTGGAATGACTATAGACAGAACATAACATTCTTTTGATTAATAATAATAATGCATCAATGTTATACAGCATAACACTGCTTCACAGCATTATTAATTCACTCCATACATGGTGGAAATAAATTACTACTGTAGCTAAAGCTGCCCTGGGACAGACTGGCAGACGCGAGGCAATCAGTATGTGCCATTGGCCCCTATGACCACCACAAACCATTCACTCGCACGCACGCACGCACGCACGCACACACACACACACACACACACACACACACACACACACACACACACACACACACACACACACACACACACACACACACACACACACACACACACACACACACACACACACACACACACACACACACACACACACACACACACACACACTTCACATGAATGGTAAGATTGTGAGAATTTTGCAGAATGTACATTGTTGTTGTGCTGCTATCTTCATGTGTGTCCAATGAGCAGACTACGATTTATTGAACTGGGAGACGGAAGATTGTGGTTTGGCAGCTGCCTGTCAATCAAAATCCTGTTTGCACAGTGCCAGAGTTCAGCAGAGCGAGAACACGGGTTTGAACTAATGACTTTAGTACAGCTGCCATTCATCAGCGCTGTCAGGGAGATGGCTCCTCTGATTGACGCACACGTAAAGACACTTTTTAGTGATATAGTAAACTACACACAACAATTAATAGGCACAATATGACTTTTGTTTGAAAAAATTCTCTCCTTGATTCTAAAAATCAATTTTTTCATGTATTATAGCAGTGATAATAAAGCAGCGGCCTCATACTGGGGGATTGTGAGGCGGAGTCTATTTATGAAAGTATGAGGTAGACTCCAGACAATCACTTAACACTAGAACACCCAGAGCCGTCATTTTGACGGCTGTATTTCGGAGTAAAGGTACAAACCATATGAGTTAATTACTATCAATATATTTGGTGGAAAAATTACATTTTTGGGGGTCATTTCTAGGAGGAGGAGTCAAAATGACGGCACAAAACATTCTAGTAGTTTCAGGATTGTGGGTGTCTTGTGTTGAACTGCTACAGTATACTTGTATTCACTGTTTAACACCTGGATTGTGTAGTGTACAATTGAGGCTAGCACTCTCGCTTCTTAGCAATGAGGTCCTGTATTCAAATCCCGGTCGAACCAGGGCATTTCTGAGTGGAGTTTGCATGTTCTCCCCGTGTCTGCGTAGGTTTCCTCCGGGTACTCCGGTTTCCGCTACCACTAAAAACATGTACAATAGCTCTGGCATGCGCCTCCTGTACTGGTGTCCCCGCTAACATCTCTGTGTGGAGTGAGAGGACAAATGCCCAAAAATAACAATTGTAAACCGCTTTGTGACAATGGTCTATTGCTAGCTTAAGCCCTGCTCCAGAATGGTGGTGGACCACTTGTGCTAACGTAGACCAACATTTACAGGGCTACCCAGGAAATTTCCCCATAGACCTCTATAAAAACAAAAACGGCTTGTCGTCAGCTGTCATAGAACCTACAGCTTTGCAACGTACTGATAAACAAACTATTTGGTAAGATTACAGGTGTGTCACTGTCCGAGTGTCAGATCACTATTTTTGAGCAGTCAGCAGTGAGACAGGCTTGGAACATCATCAGAGATCCAACTCATATCCTCCACTCTCAATACGAACTGATGCATTCTAGGAGGAGTTAAAAGTAGGGCTGTCAAAGGATAACACATTTTCATCAAGTTAATTACAACTTAAAAATTAATTAATCGTAATTAATCGCATTTCGAACTATCGGCAAAATGATGCCATATTTTTTTGTAAATGGTTGTTTGAATGGAAAGATAAATGACAACATAGTGTACAGTATTTGTTTATTATAACAATAAATCCACATAAAACGGCATTAACATTATTCAAATTCTGTCTTTCTGTAGTAGACACTATTTTTTTCAGCTCGACATATACTGCGACTGCTAAAGCCTCCTCTTTCTTCTCTGTCTCATAAAGGCTGTGGATCCTCTTCATTATTGTGCCTCTACAAACTATTGTTTGTCACAGGGATTTGAAAAAAGTCTGAAATGCATGTCAGCCAATGGCTGTCATTAAATCTGTTTGATTTGCTCACAACATTTCATTTTGGGCAAAAACAACATGAAATGGTAGTGCAAAGGAAAAGTTAGGTACCCCAGCTTTAATTTAGCATCTTTTTTTTGCTTCGGGAGAAGAAACGGGGAGACGGATTGTTTCTTGCAGCGCTGTTTTTATTGTGCGTCCTGTGCGTGATCAGTGCACACAGTGGTCCTGTGCGTGTATATGGTATTGGGTACATGGCCACGTACGGCTGCGCGCTCCCGTGCTGTTGAAAGCCGCTCACGAAAGGCTCTCACAGCTGCAGGACGCGGGAACTGCTGTCCAAAGCGGCCACAGCTGCCCCAGAACGCTGCAGACTCCCATTCACAGCAATTGCCCCGCAGTCACACACGCGGGGTGCCAGTCACTTGGCACATGCGTTAAAAGCATTAATTTTTTTAACGAGATTAATGACATTTTTTTATTAACGCACGTTAACGCGATAACTTTGACAGCCCTAGTTAAAAGCAACAGATTTAAAATCTCTTTTGTGCCTCCGTCCATAAAACCATTAAATTACATCAAGAGAGTACACTCATGTTACAACTGGATATGTTTGTATCCTATGTTTTCTTTAGTGTGTGGTGATACTGACTCTGCTCTAAGAGAAAATGTATCTCAAGGGTTTCTCAAAGGTTGGGTTTAGTGAATAGTTCAGACCCCTTGTCCTCCTGCTTTTTCTTTAAAATCCCTCAACTGCTCTAATCTAGGTGTACGCAGGTTGGCAGTGGTCATCTCCTTCTTAGAGCGGGCTGTGCTCCAGTGCAGCGCAGTGCTGCCCTCTATAGTCAGGGTCAAGTGTTCACCTCCGCATACTGAAGTACCACAAATGGCGCACCTACTGCGCATGACAAGAAGGACTAGAGGTGGCCGAAACGTGTCCCTTCTGCTAATATTTCAGCCTCAATGGTGTGAGCATTGAATGGGCAGACAACTTGGGTTGCCAAGGCTTGGTCTACCTTGTCTGGTGGTCTTGAAGTTGAAAGACTGGAAGCCTCCGCTGAGAGCCGAAGAGTCGATCACGTCCACTCCGTATTCACTGTGGTTCTTCCTGTAGAGCATGACAGCAACCACCAAGATGGCCACAGCGATGATCCCCGCGCCCAGGCCGGAGTACAGGGCCACGTCGTTGGAACTCTCCATGCCTGCAGACATAGGAAAAAAAGAGGTTCAAGCTGCGTAGTACTTAAAGCTGGGGTACCATTCCTGCTATTACCACAACATCTTTTACCTACTCATACCCTGACCCTTTCTCAGCTTCTGCGCACGCACGCGCACACACACACACACACAAACACACATACTTACCCTACCCTAACTTTCCCAGCATTACCTTTTATTGTTTATTGTATTGTAATCAACACTGTATTCTCACTGTTACCTGTATTGCTTTTTTTCCTGTATGCTTATCACTTTATGATTGTGAATACAATACAAAAGCTGGGGTACCTAACTTTCAAAGTATTAACAATTAAAGCATATAATCAATGTCTCTGATTCCTGGCTCTAAAACAGTTTGGTTCCACATGTTTACGTCAACTTTTGTGGTGAAAAGAGGACCGCACTCAAACTCTCTCCAGTTCACAGTCTTTGTGTTCTATCCCTAACACAATTCTTTGAGAGAGAAAGAACAGAATAGGAACAAGATGGTTTGGATTATATACTTCCACCTTTGAAAATATAGACTTTTTCATATCAGACATTTTACAAACTGTGTCAAAAGTTCTGCGCAAAAAGGAGAGAGACAAAAGGATGGCAGGCTCAGCCTTAGCTTGATACATTGTGAATAACATTTTATGCACAGTAAGACGATTGGATTATGAAGAAATGCAGGGACATATAATGAAAAATACTGTTGCTGTTAAATATTGTCTCAAAGGCTGTTGCCTGTTTAAGTTACCGGTTTTCTTTGCTCCCTCCCCAAAAGTCTCTCTTTCTCATGTCTTTATTGGTGGCTCACGTAGGGGTAGCCATTAAAACGCAAATGGAATTAAATCTTTTTCTAGCAATAATGTCAGCTTGGACAGGCAGAGCAGTGCACTTGTGATCCTTTCAATGTGACACACCCTCCGCGGAATCTGTGATACAACTTTAATATCAGCTTTATTTGTATAGCACTTTTAAAACAACACAAAAGTGCTTCATATACAAAAGAAAAACTCAGCATGAAAGATATGTAAAATGTAAAAAGACGAGGAACTCTTTGTTGGAGACTTGTAATCAGGGTTAGAACGGTTATTATTAACCTCAGTATCATTTGAACTTAGGAAACACCTTTATTTGATCATAAATAACGTTTTTGTGTTTTCTTCCATAGCCTCTGTTTTTATGCGACATTACGGAGTGGGAGAGGCGAGGTCACAACACATCCAGCTGTTACTACTAAAAAGTTACTTTAAAGCAGTACAGCGTTCATAGTTTAACACTGAACTAGACCAGAGCAGAGAGGATTCACGGACCTAACCAAGCAGATCAAACAGAAATCCACTGGAGGAATGCTAATATTTTGAAAAATGCTAACAAAGCATTCAGCATTTCACTCTAAACCAGAGAAGAGAAAATGGTACGAACCAAGCGGCTACACCACCTCTGCTGCTGTGACCTCTCCTGCTCCACCCAGTGGCTACAGCATCTCTGCTGCTGTGACCTTGCATTCTAATACTATTGTTAGCTACTTTTTCAATGATCTATTTATTTGTTTTGTTTGTGTGGATGGATGTGTTTCTGCTGCTACCAGACACCTGAATTTCTCAGACGGGTATGAATAAAGTATCTATCTATTAATGTTCTGTATATTTGTGTTCATGTTGTTTTGGATTGATTTCTAATTGAGAGAAAACACTGGTTTACAAAGATATGATAAGATAACCTCTGTTCATCCCGCAGTGGGAACATGTAAAGCGCGTTTGCATATTACAGTACAATATTACAGGAGAAATCTAATCTATTATTAAAGATGATAAATAATAAATAGATATTAAATAAACGGTGATGAAAAAGCCAGGGACTATTCATTGACAAGGACTGACAAGGAGTATTTAGACAGAAGGGGCGGGGGGATGTGTTTGTTCCTGATGTTAGCGTCGAGAAGGGGCCATGCATTCAGGCCAGGTTCATGATGTACAGTACACCTGGAGAGAGGTGCAGAAAGTCCATTCTAAATCACATTTCCAATGCTTCTGGATGATAAGGTAAAAGGGAAACTTGTTTTTGTATGTCTGGGGAAAATGTATGCAAAAGAAAATTGCAACAGTACCTCGTTTTCAACTTGCATACCAGGATTGTATCTTCACTCATTTTAAGGTACTGTTATTATCTATGATTTTATGCCTTTTGTGTAAACTGTGCTAGACAATCAAACTTGCCTTTATGCCACTTTTCCACAGTAACGGTACGGTACGGTAAGACACGGTATGGCCGAGTTTGGGTGCTTTTGAATTAAAAATAGTACCTCTTCCAGTGTGGGAGGGATTGTCAAACCACGTCCTTTACGCGTGACGTGTGACGTGTGACCGGTAACATTGGTGTGGTGCATGGATTTATTATAATATCGGTGATAGCTGCTATACCTCCTAGGAGACTCTGCTTACCCCCTGCAGAACTGGCTCCTAAAACCTTTTCAGGACACTGGGCGAGTGACAGACGAACATCAAGAATTTAATGTAATGTAAATAGAAGTAAGAGTATATGGTAGGTAATCAAAACTTTTGCTTTTACTTTACAAAGTCCTAAGTACGTATTTCTCTGAGACCAGGTCCAGATGAGGAGAAAGTTAAGTACTCCGGCCACTCATTGCTCGTTGGTAATTTCCTCACTTGTGGGAAGGGATTCTCAAACAAATAAATATACACACAACAACTTAAGACAGAATGGCAACATGTGAATACTGCAGATAATACGAGATAAAGCACAGTAGCACAGGAAGGACGTTAGCTTAGCTTGCTATCGATAGCTAAATGAAGCTAAATGTAGCTAGCTCACTGTGTGAGACAATCAACAGACAATCAAACATGTACACAGTAAATCCATTTCAGTGAGAGCTTTAGGCCAACGGGATACGTAGCTAACCAGTTATTTCCAGGATTACCACAGACTAGTCACAAATCCAGAGCGAGCTCCATGAAAACTAAGTAAAACCTCCATGTTGTGCGTTCAAGCTGCCTTTGAATTCTTTCTTATAGCCTAAAGAGAGTAACGTGTGGACCTCGTCGACTGAGCAGGACGTTGACTTTTGGGGCTTTCTGTGCGATTCCATTTCTCTGGAGGAGGACGTAATGTAGCCGAAGCAGAGCAGCCGGTTTTAAAGATGGCGGGGTTGAGTTGTCTTTACCAAAGGGTCGGACGTCGCTTCCAGTGATAACACTCGTTGTCCAATCAGTCTAAGGCAGTTGGCCGATGGCACGGCATGTGTAGGTTCGGTGCGGTTGGACCCACAGTCGAGGTGGTCCGAAAAAAGTACCCAAACCCCAACCTCAACCCTAGTGGAAATGCAAAATAACCGCGCCGTGCCGTACCGTACCGTCACTATGGAAAAGCGGCATAAGAGTAGACCAATATGCTTTCATTGTTTTTATTTATTATATAGCACAAAATAAGAAGAAAAAGTGTGCCAGAAATTATAATCAGTATAGAATGCTATAGAGCTCTAAAATCCTTCTTCAGTTTTGACACAAGCTCTAAGTAACATGCCACACTTATCACCGCTCGTGTTAACGTTTCAACACGGCCACAACCAGCCTGCTGCGGGCTGGCGAGGACAGCGTGGTGAATGGCTTCCATTAGCTCATTTGCAACAATTATGGACACATTAATCCTTCACGAGCGCAGCACATGTTTACCTGTCACAAGCGATATATCTACGAGGGGCCCAGCTGCAACCGCACAGGCCCTGAATATCCCAGGCTAATGATGTGAAGTTTGTCATTTCCAGGTTACATTAGGATTTTGAGACAGAGATAGAGCTGGAGTGGATTATATGGATTGTTTAGACCTTAAAGTGATTGTCACGAGTTTGTCAGAAAAAAAAAGAGAGGTACATGATTTGAAAAAAACGACCCTCCCTCCCCCTTCCTTTCTGATTGGTCTACGCCTACGTTTCCGTAACACATTTAAATGTTAATCTGAGAACACATTATACCTACATTATTAATACACATGCACAGAGGTTTTCAGAATTATTTGTTAACGTTTTCATGACAAAAATAATGTTTTAATGCACGAAAAAAGCGATCGCGGTAAACCCGGAAGTAGCTATTAACGTTGATTGAACATTATAGGACACATCTGCAGAGGATCTGATTATGGATATAGGTTCAGTATATAAATGATTATGGATATAGGTTCAGTATATACACAAGTACCTCAGCGCGGAGGTTCAGAATTATTTGTTAAGTTTTCATGAAGTTCCAGAGCCTATAAAGGCTTGATTCGGAGGCTCCGCAAAAACAAACAACTGAGCATGCGCGCAGCTACGGCATCAGCGCGATGATTGACAGCCCTTGGCATCACTTGGTTAAAGTGGACGGCATCATGGATTCTGAGCTATAGCTAAGAGAAGGGAAGGCGGGACTTACCCATAATATTACAATTCATAAAATGACTTATTTCATATCAATATTTAAGGCCAGGAGGGCAATTTAATACAATTCTTAAAATGTGTAACTCATTTAGAGTTCCAGGCTATCACTTTAAGGCTGGGGTACATATCTTTCAAACCATATAATCACATGAGTGTGTCTTTACAGATTAAGTTGTTTGACTCAGATCAGAGCTTATTTTGAATACCAGTGTAATTTGGAGGTTATAGTGTGGGTCCAGGGGACTTGCTGAATGGATTATTGGATATGATATGATATTGAATTTGTCTTTGGGCTAAAATAAAGTGTTATGCATTTATTCAGCTAACACATACAAGTATTGTGAAGATTTTAACTTTTCAGATACGCCTCACAAAAACAATTTGCTAAGGAGTTGTGGGTCACACGCAGAAATCCAGAGGCCTAACTGCGGATGAGGACTGTACACTGTGCTGTTTTTAGGCTATATAATCAGCCTTCTTGTTTTTAGATTATTTGCTGCCCTTCATTAACCACTGCCTGGCACTAAAACAGTTATATCACTAGTTTTCACATGAATTATCTCGGAC